AGGCCTCGGTGGCAGAGGCTTCTCCATTAACACCGCTATGGGGTCAGGCTACAGTTAGAGAGCGACTCGGTAGCACTGAACTTATGTAAACTCCCGCATTGCCAATCGAGACATAACTGCAGGACACTTCACTCCCCCCCCCCACAAAAAAATTCCTAAACTAAATAATTTGCCTAAGAAAATTTCGCTCTTTCCAAAAAAATTCCAAATACATTTTAACACACTCAAATGTGTGTAAGAGAAATGTTCAGAGACAATATCAAAAGGATATAGAAAATTTCAGCGAAAGAGGGCACCCCGGCGAACCGGCCCTCTTCCCTGCGGGGGTGGTGCCCACCAGACAGTTCCCCCATCTCACCACAGGAGCAGCCTCGGTGGTGTTGCGTTTCCCGGTCATCGGCCACGTCATCTGGGTGTGGAGGAGTCCTCTCATAGTAGGCCAGGCTGCCACCTTTCGCAGTAGGCGGGATTCGATGCCCGGCCCCCTTCCCACTCAGGGGCCATACTACTGGTACTCAGGAGTCTGCGTCACCCTGCCCAGCAGCGGAACCACTGGGCTATGAGAGGCACGCTGGACGCCGGCTGATTTTGTATACTTGAACCGCCTTCGCGCGATGCGAAGCTTGGTAAAAACATTTGGGACTGGACGGGTGTCGAACCCTGGACCCTACTGTTGGGATACAGCGCCTCTACGCTTTCGACCACCGCGGCTGATGTCTGCTTCCAAGGGGAACGGAGCCCTTGAAGCCGTGGGCATGAACCGCAAAGGCAGAGCCCGGCAAAACGTGCGGATGCGGGTATTCGATCGCCGTACCAGAGTCGAATACCGACGCCTTGCCGCACTCAGCCACCACGGCACTACGGTCGATGGGGTCGTTTGGGCGAGACAACGGGTTCAAATCCCCGCTAGTCATAAAAAATGAAAAGATGTTTCGAGGAATCGATCGCCTGACTCGTAGGTCATGAGCCGATGCCTCCTGGCTCCTAGCCACCGCGGAAGTTTTGCTGCTGATGCGAAGAGGACGGAAGAGGAGCATGAAGTACCCGGATTGGACTTCAAAAAATGTAAAGAAACAAAGAGTCGATCACCCGATTCAAGCGACGGTCGACGCTCCGGCAACCTCGGCCACCAATATACGTGGTGGTTCAGCCCGGTGAGCCCGGTCCAGCCGAGTAACACGGTCTTGAACGCGGCCCGGCCCGGCCCGCCCCGCACGACACGTCGGCGTCCCGCGCGGCGACATTTCTCTCACGAGCTAGCGCCGTGCCGTGCTAGCGCCGCCGCCTTCCATTATGTTTCGTTTCGGGAGGGCCTTCCCCTCACGTCGCACCGCCTCCAGCATTCGCCTCGGCGCCCACCACGGCTCCTTGCTCCGCGCCGGAACGGGGCGACGATTTCGCGGCCCGGGTTGTCAATGACGGGAATGTCTCAGCGCGGCGTTCCCCCCAGTCCGGGTCGCTGCTATGGATGGTGGCGTGTATCGCGAGTATTCGAATTGACTCGCAACCGCTCCTAAAGGGTCCCGCCGGCCCCGCCGTGCCTTGGTGAGCCGTGCCACGCCGACCTGCGCTGCCACGCCCTGCCACCGAGCGGCACGGCGCCGCGCCCGGAGGGCCCGGGACCAGGAATGCAGACTGTAGACGGCGCCCGCGGGGCCCCTCCTTCACATTCCGCGCGCTAACTATGTCGCCGATAGGAGGCCGCCGAGGCCTCTCGGCGCCCCGTCGTCGCCGGCGTGCCCAGGGCGTGCCCATGCGGGGCGGGGCGCCGTGGAGGCGGGCAACCCGGACGCGCCGCTGCACGGCGGGTCGGCCTACGCTCGAGCTGGTAGGCGCCATTCGGACAAAGGCCGGTAGGGCGAAGGGGCCGGCAGAGCCTGCGATCGGGTGGGTAAGCTGCCGCGTTCTCACCCGCCGTTCCCGGCCGGGTGAACGCTCTTACCCGGTGCCAGCACAGGTTCAGTCGGCGCTGGTCGGCCCGACCTAGACTGACACACACTCACACTCACACGTAGCAGCCAGCGGCGGCGACCAGCGCCCGATCGACGAGCCACAGCGCCGACGGCGAGGCAAAACCAACCACAGCCGCGCCAAGCGACTGACGGGCGTCAGGCGAGTGGCATCTCGCTCTCTCTCTCCCATAAGCAGCCAACGAGTGCGAGAGAGACAGCTGTGTCGACTGGCGGCTCGCTGACTGCCGCCTGCCTCGCCGGCGACGGCAGCGGGCCGCGCTGGGCTCGGGTCGAGCCGTCGTCGGCACGCTGGGTCTGTTCACCCGTGGTGGGTAGCGCGTTACCCGGTCACCTTAACAGCGGGTGGGTCTGGGTCTGGGTATGGGCCGGCTGTGGCCGGGTGAGCAAGTCAAAGAGTGCCAGGCCGGCCGGGTAGCGCTCGGCCGCCTTACCCACCCGATCGCAGGCTCTGGGGGCCGGCCTGGACCGACCTGGACCTACTCGACGCGACGTGCCGCGAGACCATGGCCAGGCAGTGTGTACGCGGGGGCCCGGCGTGGCGTGGCGTGGCCCGGCGTGGCGGCCGGTCAGGGTGTCGCTTTGAAGTGAGTGACGCGAGCAACAGGAAATTACAGGGCTGCCCAGCCGGTCCACGGTTGTCCACGGCCGGATGCCTCGCCGGATGCCTAACTCGGCCGCTCCGTGCGCCTCTTCCAATCAATGAGAGAGTCCAGCTCGGTCCAGCGCGAAACACATCGGCGCCGATTATCGAAACCCCCGAGGTGTGATCGTCACCGGCAATTGTTTTCCGTTTCGTCCGTTTTGTTGTTCGGCTCGGCGATGCGTCCACGCGCCTACAAAGTACATTACGAAAACGAATCGAGTAAGTCAGTTAAGTTATGCAGTAAAAAGGGCAGAGCAAAAAAATGTGGGGAGTTGAACCCTGGACTCGAGGGTGAGGGTGTAGTCGGCGTAGGGCAGGCACGCCTGTACACTGTTAGAAGGGGGTTCGATTTTCGAACCGTGGAAAGGCGGTCCCAATTCTCGCCCGGCTCGAAAATCGGGCTTAAGTAGAATCGAACTCACGTGGGTTCAATTTTCGGACGCGGGGTTCGATTTTCGACCGCTTCGCCGGCTTTCGGCTCTGCGGTCTTTCGTACGGCAGCGCCTGGAGTCAATTAGCAAACCTGACCGAACACACATCACCTTACAGATTTAGATTCGTCTCAAGTAGACAAACCAAAAATGTCAACACATATCATGGGTTAAAATGAAAAATGAAAGAGTTATTCAACTTCTAATGTCTTTTTTACCATTTTTGCACTCTAAAAATCCAATAACTCTTCTATTTTCTATTTTAACCCATAACATGTCTTGACATTTTTTGTTTGTCTTCTCGAGACAAATCTAAATCTGTAAGCAAATGTCTATTTGGTCAAGTTTGATAATTCACTTGTCTCAGCGAAGCTCAATCCCTACAAAGCCGAAAATCGAACACTACCAGAGCCGAAAATCGAACCCTCATCTTGTCAAAATATCGAACCCTGCATGTATCGGCCACCCCGTCCGATTTTCGAACCGAGATGGGTTCGATCCTACTTAAGGCCGTATTTCGAGCCAAGGTGGGTTCGAAAGTCGAACCCTCTTCTAACAGTGTACGAAAGGTGATCAGCTCCTGAAAGTTTCGACCAGCAAGTCCGGGGTTCAACTCCAGACATTTCTTTTCTTTTGGCACTGTCTTTCCCAGTGCGGTTTAAAGCCGATGAAAGACATTCCTCCACGCAACACTGCCTTGGTGGCCGAGGCTACAGAGGCGTCGTTTCTTGATACCAGAGACGGTGGCTCGAATTCCACCTCATGCACTAGGGTAAATCCACTCTGAAATTCCAGAGTGTATGTCTGAGTTTTAGAGTTTCATCTAGAGTTCCAGAGTTCCTGTCAGAGTTACAGAGTTCATGCCAGAGTTGCAGAGTTCCTTTCAGAGTTTTAGAGTTAACTCAGAGTTTGAGAATTAACTCAGAGTTCCAGAGTTTGTACTCTTCAGAGTTTCTGAATCCTTTTCTGAGTTTCAGAGTTCCATCCAGAGTCTGAAAAGCTGTTCAGAGTTGCAGAGTCGCGCTTGAAGGTTTAGAGTCTGAGTTTGAGTTTCAGAGTGGTGTTCAAATTGACAAGGCTCTAAATCGAAAAGTTACAGGAATTTTCGATTGAAATTTTATATGCAGCATCTACACACAAATTTAGTAGGGCCATTTTAATTTTATTAAAATTGGAAACCTTTTTTCTGCTATCTCGTGAACCGTTGGTAGTAGCACAAAATGGATCGCGGATTCGGATCGAACTCGGTTCCACGACCCCTATAACATTGTCATGATTTTGAAATATCATGTTGGATTGGAGATAATGACACTTTTAAGTTGACTCTGAACCTCTGGAACTCTCATTATTCCTGTCTGAAACTCTGATTATGTCACTCTGAAACTCCGAATGGCACTCTGGAACTCTAACTCTGAGGTGCGCGAATTTTTAGACTAACTTTCTCAGAGTTGCTCGTCCAGAGTTAGTAAACTCTGAAATGTCTGAGTGGGATAACTCTGGGAGTTTTCACAGTGGATTTACCCTAGTGTGGTGGGATTTTTTGATTGGGGCCACCTTACCCCATTCCACCAAGAACCGCCCTCTTCTTTATCTAGTCAAGTCTATTCAAATGGACTCCAAAGTTCCATCACATGTTGTTGCAAACCAATTTTCTAGTCTACTATGTAATTTTACGATTCAAGGTTTTCGTGTTGCTGCTAGCATGCCCAAAAAAGTTGTGTAGTGACGTCACACAATGTGTGGTCTAAAAGCAAGATTCATGCCAAAACGCTCGGCGGGTCAATACAGTACATGTAATGCAAAAAATGGCATTGCGAATTCAGGCGTGCAGGTTTACTGGCAGGGTTGGTGGCGCCACCGCTAAACTCAAACAAAAACAACAACACCAACAAAACAACACACTGGCTACTGGCGCGACGTGCGTGGCGCCGTGGCGGGGGGTGCGAAACTCACCTCGGCACAGCGAACTCGCCGAAATACTCCATCATAGCGAACATGGTGGCAAGGAGGAGTAGGTACAGCCGTGCGGTGGAAACGTTGGGGACCGGGAGGTCCAGCGTGCCGTGGAGGACAAGAACGAAAGAAGAAGCGAGAAAGAAGAGGTGGAAGTGGGGGAGGAAGAACGAAATAAAGAATTGCCGCGTGGCCGGGCGGCGCGCTGGTGAGTGCTGCTGGTGAGGCACTGGCGAGGCGCTGGTGAGGCTTAGCTTGGGGTGCTGGACGTTGTTGTGGTGGTGGTTGCTGCCTGCTCCGTCAACTCACCTTGGGATAGCGAACTCTCCAAAATATTCCGTCATAGCAAACATGCTGAGGCTGGGTGAGGGGACTCATCCCCAAAGACTAGGAGTTAGGGGACGGGACCAGAAGGGATGGAGGGACGGGTGGACGGCAGGTTACGTGGACGGCGGTTGGCAGGCAGGCGGCGCGCGCGAGGCGCGGCGGGGCCCGAGGCGCGGCCTTAGGCGGGGCGCGGGGCGCACTGGGCTGCACCGCATTCTTCGCCGCGTGGCTGCTTGTCCATGATGCACATGCTGCACATGCTACGTTGCGCCGGGAGGGCGGCGGCGTCCACAGGGGCGACACGCCGGCGGGGGCGACGGGGAGAGGGGGGAGGACCCCTTGGAGGCGTCCACGTCCACGACGGCCAAGTCCTCCGCACCAGCCCACGCCGCCATGGCCCCCTCCCCCCCGCTGGGGCGCCCCCGCGGCCCCTGCGGTCCGAGCACGTGGGGCTGGAGGCACGCGGCACGCACGCACACGGCACGCACGCACGCGTCTCGACCGGCGCTGGAGGCGGGCTGGAGCGGGCTGGAGGCGGGCTGGAGTCGCACCGAGTCGAGCCCCGCAGCTCCCCTAGTCCGTGGCGCCGCGGCGCGCCGCGCTGCGCCGTCCGTAGGGCCGTGCCTCCGTGCCTGGGCGGCCAGCAGCAGCCAGCTGGGGGGACGGGACAGACACACTGCAGCACCGGGGCGGCAGCGGGGCCAGCGGAGCCAGCAGAGCCAGCGTAGCGCCCGGCCCCCCTCGTGCAGGCCCCCACGCCGGCGAGGGGATGGCAGCGCCCCCTCCAGGCCCCTCCAGGGGCTCGCGGATGCCGGTCCAGCCCCCACCCCCAGCGCAGTGGGGGCGGGGTGGGAGTGGGCGGCCCGGACAGCTTCCACCCCCCAGACTTCCGTTTGTGCTTACCGCACTCCCCGCCTCACCCCAGGGCCGGCAGGGCCTCTGGAATGTGGGGGTCGTCAAGGCGAGGGGATCAAATTCGGGCACATGACCGCCGTGCATCCACACCCGCCGCCCTCACGACCTCCAGGACCTCCATCTGAATGACGGGGCGACCGTCGCCTTGGAACACCGCGATCACTCGCCCTGCTGCAGGCCCTCGGCCCTCGGTCCAGGCAGGTGACATCCGTCCTGCCGGAGGCAGTGCCGTCCAGCCGGCCCACCGCAAGTAATTGCCGTGCAAGAACCACGTAACGCGCCACGTGAGCGACTCCCCGAGCCGCACTCGCAAAGCACCCTGATCAAGGACTCCCTCCCGCCCCGCCCCCCGGCCCTCCGCGCGTCGAGACGCCAATACGCGGCTCTCCAGGGCATGACGCGGCACCGCCCCGCCCCGCAGCACCCCGCCGCGCCCCGCCACGCCGCGACGCATTCATGAGATGGCGCTAGCGTCGGCTCACACCTTTCGCCGAGCGTCGCTGCCAAGTCGACGCAAAGGAGGAAAAAAATAGCGAAGTTTCAATTAAGTTTGCCGCGCTTGGCGGGCTTGGCGCCGGCGGCGAACTTCTGGAGGGACACGTGCACGTCGGCGCGCGGGCTGCCGGGGCGGCGGGGCGGCGGGCCTCGGGCCGAGCGAGGCAAACACGCTCTGTTTGTTTTTTGTGCAGTGACGGCGTCGGACGGCGTCGGACGGCGTCGGACGGGCCCGAGCCGTGAATGGGGGCGCTGCATCGGGCTGCTGCACCGCCAGCCTCCAGCCGGCCGCTTCCGAGCGGAGGGCGCTCTCTCTCGCTCTCGCGGGGCGTCCCGCGGGGTGGGAGAGGGACAGGGCGACGGGGCGCCCCGTTCGGTCTCGGCCTGCAGCCTGCCGCAGTGCCCCGCGGGTCGCCGCCGCCACTCCGTGCCACTCCGTGCCACTCCGTGCTCCATGTTATTTGCACGCCCGACTGGAAAGATTCAGTTGGAAACGGGCGGGATTACGTTGGAATAGAAGACTGCAGTGCGACAACATTGTGACTTCAAGGACCGTTTTAGGGATTGGTCGAAAAAAATCAATTAAAAATGAATCGCTTGCAGACACCATGTTTCCGTGGTATGGCAGACACAGTCTTTGGTTCGAATCCGGTCCTCTCTAGTTCCATTTCGACGCCTTTCTTTTTGTTGTCTAAAAGCTAAGCCTTACGCCTTTTCCCCCATGGTATTTATTGAAGCTAAATGCGGAACTGCAGGACGCGACGCGTCCAGGCCAAAGTGAGCGGTGAGAACGGCGACAGCGATCAGGAAGTGTTGTGGCTGATTGATGAGTTCGTCGGCCGTCAAGCCGCCAATATTCAGATGCATGACCACGCCCTCCACGCCACCCTCGCCCTAGCGCCAGTCCGGCCAGGCCCAGCCGAGCCCAGCCCGTGCAACGCGCTGCCGGCATCGGCGCACCTCGGACAAGATGTGCCTTTCGCCGGCCGCGCCTTCGCTTCGCGGCACCTGACCCGGCCATCCCGACAACGCCGAATGCAAGCAGAGGACGCCGATGCCGCCCCCTCCCCTCCACCTTCCCCTCAAATTACCGAGCGGCTGGTCGACGCCGCCACCACCGCCGTCCCCGGAGAAGTCTACAAATTCAGGCCGCGCGGCGGGGGCAGAAAAAAAACGTCCACGGCAGTTCCAGCCAGTTCTCGAGACGAGAGGGTGGGGCTCGGCCGTGGGGCTCTGCAGGGAGGAGGACAGCGCATTAATCGCCGGGACAAGCAGCGGCCCGGCCAGGCCCGGCCAGTCTGCTGCAGCAGTCCACCGCCCCGCGGCCCCGAACTGGACGGCCTGGCTGGCGGACCTGGTGGCTCCCGGGAGAGGGCCGCGGACCGGGGAAAGCTGTCTTCCCTCCCCGGCCCCTTCTTGGTGTGCCCCAGGAATATTTACAGTGCGAATGGAAACAAAGGGGGCACGACGGGTGACCTGCCCGGTGGAGTGGCCGAGGCCGCCGAGGTGTGCCAGACGGCAGCGTCACACCCGCAAGGCACCCGGTGGTGGCCGCCGGACGGACAGACAGACAGGCGGACAGACCGACGAGCGGCCGGACGGGAGGATGTTTGGATGGGCGAGCAGGAAACTGTCGCGTCTGTGTCCACATGCACCCGCACCCACCGCCACCGCCGCGGCGTGCAGTATGTCACATTGCATGTCGAGGTGCATGGCCGACGCGGTGGCGGGCACCACTCCAGCCGTCATGCCGTGCTCGCCGGAAACGGTTCTTCGGGGACCTGCCTGCCTGGCCGGCCCAGGGGCGGCCCAGGGGCGGCCCAGGGGCGGCCCAGGGGCGGCCGCGGGGCAGCCCTGTGTTGATGCTGTTGGCCCGCCGGTTGGTTTGTTGTGGGCAGTGCACCGCCCTGCCTGCCGGCCTGCGGTGGGTACGCCTCGCCCGGCCTCGCCTGGCGCGGCAGCCCAGCAGTTGGCCCAGCGGTCCCATGCAATTAGGCCGTGTCAACTCGCCTCGCTCAGGCCGAATCTCCGCCTCCCCTCCCCTGCCCCTCTACACTTCGACAGCCGCAATACATACGGCATTAGCAGCGCGCGCCGACCGCAGTGCTTCGCGCTTCGCGCTCCGGCTGCTCCGAATTTCAGCGCCGATGTAATTGGCGATAATTCGCGCCGCTGCACTGCCAGCCCGGCTGCCCATCTCTCCCTCTCTCTCTCTCTCTCTCTCTCTCTCTCTCTCTCTCTCTCTCCTCGCACTCGCGAGAGAGACGTCGCCCTGGGCGGTAGCTGTGCGAGAGAGACAGAGGCGAGGCCTGCAGTGTGTCGGCGGTATGGCTCGGGCGTCAGCGCGGGGCTCATGTCGCCGGTTTGATGACGAGCGCAGGCAGACTGCTGCTCGCTGCTGCGGCACGGTAAACAGGAAAAGTACAGCGGATCTGGCGGGCTGGCGTGCGGATATGACGCGTTGTCGTTACAGGGGCGTCTGCGAGGGAAGTTGCTTCTTATCTGCTTGTCATGGCTAGGCGCGGAAAACGCTGCGGAGTGGCGGGGCCTCGGATTCAACCCCAGACGACGGCGGGGACGGCGGGGACGGCGGGGACGACGGGGGTGGCTCTGGTCGGACATACCCCGCGCCGCCGCAGGGAGGGGAGTCTCTGCGTCGCGGGGTAGCGACGACGCTCCTTGCGGGAAGTTTGTGTGTGTGAATGTGTGTGTGTGTGTGTGTGTGTGTGTCCCTGCTTTCGTCGCTGTGTCTCCCTTGGGCTCGGGGTGACCCGCGCAGGTGTGAGAGAGACAGAGCGACGTGAAGCACCGTTTGGAGTCATTCTGCTGGGAGTTGGGGTGGTCTGATCATTAACCGAGCGCACCTTCGGTAACGGACAAGGGAATGCCGGAGTCAGCCTTGCGACCACAGCGCCCAGTGCATGTCAAGCGTGACGTCGTTCCGGAGTGGCGGGGCTCAGCTCAGTGGACTGCACCAGGGCCAAGGCTAGCAAGGCTGCCCACGCTGCCAAGGCTGCACCGGGCGGCTCGTCTCCCATCCCCGCCCCGCCGTCCGCGCCTCGCTCGAATCTACTGCACTAATCTGCCGGGTTCCGGCTCGGCGAGGGGGGAGGGGAGGCTGTCTCGCTATGTTCCAGCAATCCGAGCAATTAGACGGGGACGAGCAGCGCGTGTGTGTTGAGTGTGTGTGTGTGTGTGTGTGCGTGTGTGTGTGCGTGTGCGTGCGTGTGCGTGCGTGCGTGTGTGTGTGTGTTTTGTCTGGAGCGGCGCGGCTGATCGGTGATACACCGCGACACTGTTTTCGCAGGGTGCGCGTCAAAGTCCGCCCCTCGGGGACGCCAAAGGGCGAATCCGTGTCCCGGCCATCCACTCCCTCCCCCTGGTGGCCGGGTCCATCGGCGTGCCCGCGTCGGCGTGCTCGGCGCCCAGGTGGAGGAACTTTGGTTCAAGCGACCCCCGGCCGCAGGCACGTACGCACTCCTCGGAGGGGCGAGGGGCGGGGCGACGGAAACACTCCGAGCCGTCAAAGAGGCAACGCGCTGACGCGCCAATCCG